AGATAGGCCCATCAGCTGGAAATCTTCTACCATGGATAGTGCATCTGCCACTGCATTTGAAGGCCCAGGTTTATATTCAATATGAAAATCGTAACCCAGAAGTTTGTAGGCCCATTTTTGCTGTTCTGGGCTGAGAATCCTCTGCTCCAATAAATGTTTAATGCTTTGGTGATCGGTTCATACCATAAATCTCCTTCCCAGAAGGTATGCCCTCCATTTGTGTACTGCTAAGGTAATCGCCATCAACTCTTTCTCATATGTGGACTTGGCTTGGGCCTGGGCTGATAGAGGTCGGCTGAAGAAAGCCAATGATTGCCCATTCTGCATTAAGACTGCACCAATCCCCTTCCCTGAAGCATCAGTTTCCACCACAAATTCTTTACTGAAATCTGGAAGAGCCAAGGTGGGAGGCGATGTGACTGCCTTCTTAAGATATTGGAAGGCCCCTTCTGCTGCCTCGTCCCATATAAAGGATTGTTTCTTCAACAACTTAGTGAGAGGTGCGGCCAACATACCATAACCGGCGATGAAACGTCTGTAATAACCAGTCAGTCCGAGGAACCCTCTAAAGTGACTTTTGGTTCTGTGGTCTTGGCCAATTGACCATGCTTGAAACCTTGTCCGGGTCTGTACAAACTTTCCCACCTGTTATTATGTGCCCAAGGTAATGAATATGGGTCAGTCCAAAGGAACATTTAGTGGGCTTGGCAAACAAGGAGTGCTGCCTAAGTTGGTCCAAAGTGCGACGCAAGTGTGTTAGGTGTGAGGCCCAGGTGGGGCTGTAGATAAGTATATCGTCGAAGAAAACCAATATATAGCGTCGCAGATAGAGTCTGAAAATGTCATTCTGAGCCGCTGACAGGTAGATGGTGTGTTGGTTAAACCAAATGGCATAACCACAAATTCGTAGTGCACATCTGAGGTCCGAAAAGCCGTCTTATTTATATCTTCTGGGTGGACTCAGATCTGGTGGTACCCGGACCTGAGATCCAGTTTGGAGAAGAAGAGGGCCTGGCCCAATTCGTCAAACAACTCTTCTATCAATGGAATGGGATATCGGTCCTTCACAGTGATGTTGTTGAGGGCTCGGTAGTCAACACAAAATCTCCATGTCCCATCCTTTTTCTTTACTAGTAGGACAGGTGAAGAGAACGGGCTGTTACTGGGCTGAATGAACCCTTTATCCAGGAGTTCTTGGATCATCTTATCCACTTCTGCCCGCTGATAATGTGGGTACCGGTATGGACGGACATTTGTGGGAGGAGCTCCCGGTTGGAGTACAATTCGGCTGTGGCCGAGACAGGTCCGGTTCCCCTTAGTATGCAGGTGAGTCCCTCATGTTGAAACTGCATTGTAAGGTCAGCTCAATTGCACATTACGGGGCCCAATTGTTGAAGCCATTCGACGCCCAGAACTATATCAGCCCCTGAAAATTCAAGGGGGTGCAGGTCTATAGTGAAGAGTTACCCCTGAATTTTAAGCCTAACTGATTTACATTTTCCCTCACATCTGATTCCTTGCCCACTAGCCACGTTTACAGCAAAGGGAGCTATGGGTTCCACATCCAACCCGAGTCTCCGGGTCAACCCAGGGGTGACAAAATTTAGAGAAGTTCCACTGTCGATTAGGATAGCCACTTTTTGGGCCTGAACCCACCCTTCCACCCTCATGGTATGTGGGCTCTGACAGCCCGATAGAGCTTGCAAAGAAATCACATAATATTCAATTTCCATGGTTGGGACTGCTTCATTGGTTCCAACTTCCGGTTCCCGTTCACAATTGGCACCCTCCTCTTCAACCTGCAATAGGTAGAGGTGTGGGGTCTTGCACCGGTGCCCTTGGATAAATTTTTCGTCACAATTGTAACACAACCCTTTTTCTCGACGGGCCTGCATCTTGGTCCATGAGAGCTTCTTGTAAGGTACTACCATGGTCCCAGGGTTCTTGGGTGCTGGGGCTTCTGGTTTAGTGCCCGGGGTGGGAAGTAAGGGTCCCGGAGCTGAATCTGCTCGACTGGTTGGGGTTCGTAACAGGGGTCCAACCACTGGACCAGTCAATCTAGTGGTTTTTCTTAATCTGTTTATCCTGTCTTCTTGGAGTTTAGCTAGCCCGATAGCAGAGAAAAGAGTTGAAGGCTGCAATGCTTTTACTTCAATCCAGTAGAAAGCCTTGTGTGCTGATTTCGGCCAAGCTTCTTGTGAAAGGAAGAGGAGAAAGTTGGGGGTTTCAGCAATAGACGAAGGAAAGGGAAGAAAAGGAGAAGAAGGTCGACTAGGATAGTGATATATAACCCTAGCCGCCAGCCCCTCATTCTATTTATAATTAACTTAAATATGGGATATTACAAAGATGCCCCTAGTAGGGYGGCAACTCAACTAAGTACTTACAATTCTTTTAAAAATAAAAGACTAATGGGCCCAAGGCCCAACAACTTCTTAATTTAAAAGAAAACAAACTAAACATAAATCGGCCCAACATAAATCAGCCCACTCAACAAATCCGTATGTCTTTCCGTAAACCCCCGATGAAACAGCCAACCAGAGCCGTTTCTGGCCAACCATGCACACGGGTGGCTAATCTCTCGAACTCAGTCTGATACTCCCATACACCACCAGTCTATTTGACGCGGGACAAGGATTCATCAAAATTTTCATACCCAGATGGTCCGAACCTCACTCGTAAGGCTCCGGTGAAGTCCATTCAAGTAGTCAAGGGGTGTGTTTTTCGGTACCATTGGTACCACATAATGGCCTCTCCATCGAGGTGGATAGAGGCAATAGGCACTCGTTGGTGCGCCGGGATCTCATGATATTCAAAATACCGTTCAGCCCGATAAATCCAAGGTACCGGATCATCACCCGAGTAAACTGGGAATATGATCTCCGTCATCTTACCTGGGGTGATCCTGCCACGTCTACCCGCGCTGCTACTGGATCCTTCCGCTTGTGGTTCCCTCGCCATGGGTGTGGATAGTCGCTCGAACTGCCCCACCAGTGCCGATAAGGTCTCCTTGATGTCCTTCAGTTCTGATGTGGTTCGGTGAACTTCTACTTCAATCCGATCAACATGATCATCTACTGCGGTGGATCTTGTATTAGTCATCAGTGCTAGGCTCTGATACCAATTGATAAGCTCACTTTGATATTCTGAAAACCTGAGCTGGTTCGAGGGAGCTCACCCTCCTGAAAACAGAGTAGAGGAGTGGAGAGGAAGAAGAGAAAGGAAGAAGATAGGAGAGATGGAGGAGATCAGTAGGGTTGCATTTTTCATGCCCAGAATCGGTGAGGTAATACAATACTTATACTCTCTCTTCCGCCTCTCCTGCACATGGCTTGACTGAGATGGCTAACTAACTAGAGGGACGTGGCCTCCTCACGTAAACAAACCTCAGTGGCGGTTGCACATGGGAGATCGAGTGCTTCTCTTGTGCTTGGCCTGGCTTCTGCATGTCGTGGGCCTGGGTCTCCTGTGATGGGCCCAAATGGGTAGTCGAGGGCCTATCACCCTCATTCACACCTTTAAATGTAGTATAGATATAGATCTATTTAGGTATCTGCATTTTGTGTATTGTTAGTACTTTTCCTATTTCTGAAGACATTTGGAAAAACCTCTTTGTGGTGTGGCAACTGAGATTTGGGGAGAAAAAGTTGCACAGATTGGATGACACTTTCTTGCAGAGAATGGAATGACTAGAAAAATGAAATTTAGGGGAGTTCTTGCTGAAGGCTAAGGAAGAAGAAAAAGGCACAATATGAAAAATAAAGGAAATATCTGTGTTCAGATTAACCAGTTGAAAACTGGAAATTGATATTAAATTAAGGTCAGTTCTTGCAGAGATTGTCATTAACTCTTTGTCTCTTAGTAATTAAAGGATGCAATTTAATTGGGTTGGGTTATTCATTTGTTAAATTTTGAATGTGCCCAAACACTAACCTGAGCCCAATATAGTTGAAGTTCTTAAATTCAGGTAACCTGACCTTCAAACCTAAAGTAATTTATGGATGGAGAAGGTTATTTTTTATTAAATTAATTAAAGTTTACTTTGAAAGAAACTTGAAGGATAAACCTTGCAAAATTTGGTGCAGCTTTCTTTTATGATAACTTTTGATGCAAGTCTCAGATCTTGTTTTCTTGCCACTGGACATTAAGGTGACTATTTTATGCCTTTCAATGTGAAGATCAATTGACATATACCAGTTTTTTCAATGTATAAAAGAGGTGAAGTTTTAGGATAACTGTAACTCATGCTAATTCTTATAGGTTGAAATCAGTTCTGCATAAGTAGCATTTCTAGAATGACAAATATCTATTTCTCAAGGAGCATCTTGGTAGTTTAGAAAGAACTCACCTGCAACCATTGACAATATTTTTCTCAACTTGTTGATGTACTGGTTTCCTCTGTTTTTGAAATATCTTTTATATCATAGGCATCAAATTTCTCAAGGAAAAAGCTGGAGAAAAAGCGAAACACAGCAGAAAGAAATATTAGCTTAAGTGTTCTTCAGCAATACTTTTCTGGCAGTCTTAAGGATGCTGCTAAAAGCATCGGTGGTAAGACTTCACTTTTATTACATAACATTGAACATTCTCATCCATTGAAAGCATTAAATCATGATTTGCAGTCTTTGCATATTAAACCATGAATCCCCATATGGCAAGGGCAATTAAATAATGAACATAAATTTCACTTGGTAGGATGACACATCACATAATGATTTTAAGTATTTCATTCAGAACACTAAAGCAAGAGAATGTGTTTCTGCAATAATGAATATATCAATTACTAATTGCAAGGGACGTTCAAGACAAGGTTGTCAATGCCACAACCCTAGATTTAAGAGAAAAAGAAGGCAACAATACGAGGAAAGATGCTTGCTCTGGAAAGCCAGAAAGGTGTCTTATCCTCTGAATGTCTTAGGAGGCCGTTAGATAACAGCTGAATATGCTAAAACTGAGAAGTTAATTGCTTTGTCTTTAAGGCTCAGTTTGGGAAGATGCAAATACAAGGTTTAGAAATACCATATATAGGGTTTTGCACTGTACATAGTTGTATTTGAACTCTTCCCAAACTGAGCCTTAATGAATAAGTTTTTTAAGAATTAAAAAGAGCAAAAGAATTAAATATCCACAATCTAATCATTGAAGGCAACTCCAAGTAATCTATTTTTGGTTAGAAAAAGAAGAGAATGGACTCCGGGAATTTTCTTATGAAAAGAAGAAATTCAAATGGCTTTCCAGAGGCTTGGTAGTAAGATTTCAGTGGGCCAAAAGGAGTGCTAACTCCTTTGTGGATGCCTTATCCAAACAGAGGGTAGGAAGGGTTCAATCTATGTGGGCTTGTTTATCATTTTTGTGCTCTTGTTGTCCTTGGGGAGGGCTAAGAGAGTTTAACTCTCTTCTTGGATGTTGTAATTGTTGCTCTTTTATAATAAATTTTCTGTTATTGATAAAAAAAATTAGTTTTTAAGGAGGTTGTGGCTCCTCAATTGCTGAAAATGAAATTGGGTAGATCACAATACCCTTAAAAATTACATTATTTAATTATTTTATCAGCTAAAAGACAAAGCAAGAAGCCTTTCAGTTCAGCAACTTCAGCTGTTATCAAATGGCCCCTAAGTGTCTGGGAGACCATGTCTTGACAAGGTCATACTACCAACTTTTGTTGTAATTAAAGTCTAAAAATTGCTTTGGCAAAGCAATTCTGATCCTGTCACTACATGGACATAGGCAGATCCATGTGGCTAACCTGGATGGTGATAAACTATTAAATGGAAAGTTTTAACCTGCTATGTCAGACCTATACATGGCAGAGAACATTCTGTCATTGCAAGCTTCTAAGCTGGCAACATCATACACTGACTATTTTTGGGATGTTAGGGTCTGGTTTTGGCCTTGAGCCCCAGATACTTCCACTGTCGGCCTCCATCTATGCCAAAATGTACTATTTGGCATACATTTTACATTATGTATTAACATTTGAGATGTATTTAGGGCTATCTATGAGACCAAAATCAATAAGATACATGTAGAAGAGCTTTTGACTGCTAAAGATTTCTAACTGATTCTTTGCAACTTTTTTCCCCTTTTGCTAGTTTGCCCTACTACCCTGAAAAGGATTTGCAGACAGCATGGAATCTCTAGATGGCCATCTCGGAAGATAAACAAAGTGAATCGTTCATTAAGAAAAATACAGACTGTGATTGATTCAGTGCAAGGAGTGGAAGGAGGACTGAAGTTTGATCCTGTCACTGGGGGACTTGTCTCAGCAGCTTCAATTGTCCAAGATTTGGTGAGAACCAACGTGTTCTCCCCCCAAAAAAATCTGGCATCCAGAAACCCAGACTCAACAGCGAAACATGTAATATCAGTATCACCCAGGTCTCACATTGGGGGTGATTCTACTGCAGTGAAATTGGAAGGTGGTGATTGTTCTGCTTCTGCACAGCAAGGGGAGCCTGTAGGGAACATGCTTCTATCAAATACAATCAAAGGAGAAAGAGAACCTTTGATTGATTGTAGCCATGAATGTAAATTATTAGACTCTGGATTACTGCAACCAGTGAGATGCAACATAGGGGGCCAAAGCGAGGGTGGTGATTTGAATTTGTTGAGTTCTGATTGCCAAATCACATCACAAAGCTCAAGCTGTATGCCAGCAGCTGATGATATAGATGCTGGAATTGTTGGTGATGCGCAGCCCAGTTCTTCAGGCACGACAGATTCATCAAATGGCTCAGGTTCATTGATAAATGGTAGCGCATCAAGCTCCCCAAGCTTCAATAAACAGAAAAATTCAAGAGTCAAAACATGTCCCAGAGACAGTGGATCAGTAATCACAGTTAAAGCTACTTATAAAGATGACACAGTAAGATTCAAGTTTGAGCCTGACAGAGGGTGCGCCCAACTGATGGATGAAGTCGCCAAGAGGTTTAGACTTCAAATTGGGACATTCCAACTCAAGTACCTTGATGATGAGGATGAATGGGTGTTGTTGATGAGTGACTCTGATATGCAGGAATGTGTTGAGATTCTGGAATCAATTGGGTCTCGTAGTGTTAAGCTCATGGTCCGCAATCTGCCTTGTGGGACAGGGAGCTCTGATAGTAGCAATTGCTTCTTCACAGGAGGCTCATAACACTTCAGAGATGGGGTAAAGGTTGCATTTTTGTGACCTATAACCTGTTGCTGGGGCATTTTTTTGGTAGGTACGAGGATCCCTTGGAGGTCGAAGTGATGATGGTGGTAGCCTCTATTCATGGCAATAGATAGTCCTATACATTTTAGAAGTTAGAAGTGGCTTCAAGAATTTAAGGTGTTCTAAGAACTCTAAGGCAAATTAGCTTTGCAGTTCGTGTACCATTATGTACAGAACTACTGTGTGCACCTGCTGAAGGCATAGTGCAAATAAAGTTGTCAGGCTCAGAGCTTGTAAATATTTTACTGTAATATTATGTGTTGTTGCATGAATGTATTTCTTTCTGCATCTATACATATCCCCAGTTTGCATCTTTTGAAATTTGTCTTTGTACATAGATACAAACTGAAAAGTCAGCACCTTCCAAATTGTATACACGTCGAATTAGTAGGAACCAGTTGGCGAAATTTCGGTCTTCCGTATCATAAGGTTTTCAAGTCATTGGTTAGGATTTAGGAAACTTCTATTCGGGTTATTTGTATTACCAATTTGCCGATGACCCAGTAGTTGAGATGGTTGCATGACACCCCCTCCATTTAGGAGGTGTGGGATCAAGCCTGTATACATAGACTCTCCATGGTATATGAGATGGGAAAGATGTAATAACTAGAGTACAATTCAAACATCACAACTTAAGTCCCAATTCAGAGCCGGATGCTGATGGACACTCAGCATCCCTTTAAATCTGGTGGTGTGGGATAGAATACCCACAGAACTGCAGGTCCTGTGGTATGGTCAATGGGTCTTAGTGCATGTTGCTCTGTATCCAAATCCCCTCTGATGTGATCATATGAATTCGAGAATGATACCAGAAAAACTTGTAACCAATCATCCAGTATCATAAAAGTGGTAACCAATTAGGTTACTTGCAACCAATCAACCAATATCATAATAAAAGTGGTAAGCAATTAGGTTGTATATATAAAAAATCAGGGGGTTATTGGTCAAAGCCCTCCTAGTATATGTCTTTCCGGTACTACATAGATTTTCCGGCAGCATAGGAACAAGAGGAGGTTGATTTTAGGTAATCCAAATCCAATTTGATATTTTTGACCTGGCTGAGAATTGGTTTGCCAGGTGAGAATTACGTTGAGCACAATCCAAATTTTCATTCCTCACCCTAAAACCTAAGTTGGGTCTGATCTACAAATCAACTGTCTTGACACCATTCCGTGGTTTGGTTGTTTTGCCTTAACAGAGGCTGTTTCGTACCAGCACCAAACGACTGCAGAGACCAGATTTCCTATCCACTCTCTACCTGCTGTGAATTGCAGTCACACATCTTTCAATTCATAATAGAGACGTGTGGTTCCAATTCATGGTGGGTAGAGAGTGGGTAGGAAAAGTGAGTAGGAAATCCCGACTGTGTTTGCACGACCAATTGATTTGCGTAGGTCTCGTGTCATCTTCTGCTTTGCCTCCACCCTTGCTGTTCTGCTGCCTTCTTCACAAATCTGCCAGTCCCCTCTGCACATAGCCATGACTTCGAGAAAATTACAACACCAAGATTCCCTATTCACACCAATATTTGGGGTTCGTGCCTCATATGCACCAATCTACTATGATTTCCTCTTCATATTCTCCAAGTACTTCTGCTACTTCTTTTCTGAACCACAGGACGTAGTCTCTTGGTTCCTCTAAGTTACATTGCCTTAAGTTCCTTAGGTCAGCTAGCATCATTCTTTTTTCTAGTGTGAACCACTTCGTCAGGAATCTCTCCACCAGATCTTCCCATGTGTTGATGCTGTTGAATGTCAAGTTTATTAACCATGAATATGCTTCACCTGTGAGTGAGTGTTTTCAAGAATTTCCCCAATTTCAAATCTCCCATCTGTAGAGTAGGGTCTCAGAGTATCCTCAAACTTATTAATGTGTTCCCTGGCAGTTCCCAATTCTCCATCATACATCTGCCAAGTCGGTGGTGGTTGGTTGATAGGTGGGTAGGGCTTCTATGCAATATGGTTGGGATAAGGTCTTTGGTAGGATGAAGGTTTAGGCTTGTTTCTTGAAACAACTGATTGTAGACACTCCATGAGTTCTTCTTTGGTTAGATGTCTGGTGATGTTGAGCCTAGATCTACAGCTACTATAGATGGTGGACAGTGTACTGGCAATGTTGGTGGTTTAGGAGATTGAGGTCTTGGGGGGATTCTTACTTCTAGATGGTTCTTAGATGTTCCTAGCGTTGGGTGATTTTTTACTGGTGCGATGGGGTCAAGATCACAGGGAATGGTTTCTCTATTTATAGAAGTATGGGAACAAGGCTACATGTATGAAGTAAGAATTTCAAAATATTCCTTGGCTTAAGTTGTGCTTGGAGATAGATCTTGTAGATTTCTCTCCTCAAGACTTAGCACACGATCTTGGGTTTCCTCGGGAAGGGATGCGTGTTAGTACAACACCCAGGTACAGCCAGACATGGTTTTCTTGATACTAATTATGTGTTTGACACCTTTGGCGTGACCCTCATCATACTCGGGTATCAACTCATTAACATTTAACTTGCCTTGCAAGACATACACATGTAGTTGATTTGAAACCTTTCACAAGACTAGCTAAGCGGGCATGGCATCATCAGGTAAGATAGTTGACTCTTGCGAGCAAAAGGTGTTTGTTAGAAAAAAATACCTACATTTTGGTAGAAGTGGTTCTTAAAGAAGAGACCACTGTAATAATGGGAGATTCCTGACAAACTCCATAATTCCACTAAAAAGGTCTACCCGAGTTTTTAGGCCTCCCATCCATTATGGTTATGATCAAGAAACATTCTTAATGAAATTTGAGGATAATAAGGTGAATCCTCTAACTTGAAGATAAGCTATGAGGACTGAAATTGATTCAATGAAAACTAATTGAATTTGGACTTTTGTAGAATTGCCACCTCAAGTGAAAGCATTTAGTTGCAAGTGAATCTTCAAGAGGAAGAATGACCCAAATGGTAAAGTTGAAACCTATAAAACCCAACTTGTGGTGAAGTATTACACTCAAATACATATGAGGAAACATTCTCACTACCCATACCTATGTTGATGTGCAAATTTAACCAATCAATCCATGAGCTGAAATGAGCTTTAAGAAATTGAAATATCCGGTTTAACTCGATTGTTAAACAAATTAGCTTTAAGCAATGTTTGGATAAGCCTTTGTATAAGAAAGTAATGGAAGAAAATGGTAGCTCCCTTGTTATGAATGTGATGACATTTTACTCATTGGAAATTATGTATAAATTCTATCACAACAATCAAAGGTATGGCTCTCAGAAAAGTTTTGTGAAAAAACTAGGAGAAGTCTCCTATATTTTAGAACATCATCTTTATAGAGATGGGATAAAGCGAAATAGACCAGGTCCAAGAACCTAAAAACAGGCTTACAACTCAAATAAACTACAAGACCCCAGTTGAGACCCAAGCACTCTACTTTGGAGACCTTTAGCTGCTGTTGTCCAGGAGATTAGCCTTTTGGGTAAATAAGTTTACTCAAAAGTTTGGTGTTGTTATTTTCATAAGATCTTATGTTCTTTTGTTGTATGACAACATTAGGGCTATTACTTAAGCCAAGGAGTCAAAACATACTCGAGGTCAAAGAACATCAAATGTAAATAGTACATCATATGGGAGATCATTAAACCTGTAATGTAGTATTTGTGGAGAGTATTGATGTATTATAATAGTATAGCCCTTGTTGCATTGTATCTTTTGTTATTTTATTTTTCTCTTTCAACTCCTATAAGGGCTTTCTTGTAATCCTTTTGGCCTATAAGAGCCTTCTTGTAAATTCTTTAAGCTCATGTGGGCTTACTTGTAAATATTTATAATATAAGCTCTTTGGGGGTAAGGGTTGGATTCATTCTTTGACACCCTAAAACCTGGTTCTAGACTCTCTATTGTTCATCTTACTCACATGGTACCAGAGTAGGTTCTATGTACTAGCTTTAGCATCTGATTTCTGCTCAAAATTGAAGGTTACTCTTGAGTTCTCACATTTGGTTTGAAGCATTTATGGATTGTTTTGATCATTCAACACTATACTCTGTTCTATTCTTGACTCTTGTGCCAACAACTTTAGGGCTTTCTTTGGTTCTCTTGTTTGGAGCATTAGATCTGCACAAAACTTTGGATTTGGTGTCGCCAAAAGGAGCTGTATTGATATCTCCTTGATTGGTCTGGTTCAAATTAGTTTGGAAAGGGTTTTGAGTTCTCCTTCTTCTAGTATTTCTCCTAGAAAAGAATGCCTGCCAGGTAGAGTTTTCTCCGATTTCTCTTGACTGGCTGTTTTGTTCATCTTGAAACTCTAGAGTTGGTGTCACCATAGCCTATTCTATATACTATTTGGTTTGGTTGAGGATTTCAATCTGTTTTGGTAGGGTTTTGATCCCTTCTTTGAATCGATAGGACTGCAACCTCACCTTCTTGGACTATTAACTTTGAATATTTTGCTAGTTGGACTTGTTTCTTAGGAAATCTTTCTTATTCTTAGTGTGTTGAGGGATTTTAGATACCTTTGCTTAAAGATCAGTCATTGTTTGTCTAGCTGTAGGCTCGACTTTAATATTGGCATAGTTTTCATCTATGAACTGTTCAATAAAATGGCTAAAAAGTAGACATCATTCAGGTGAAGTTTAATGGAACTAACTACAACTTATGGAAGTTCCATTTTGATTTTCTTTTTGTTGGGGGAAAAGGTTTAGAGGGTTATTTGAAGGGTAAAGTCACTAAACCTGAAGAGACTGATGTGAAAGCATTTTGTTAAATGACTGGTTAAAGAGTGTTTTTTCTTATGTGTTTATTTTTGTTAGTGTCGTAGGGTTACTATTGTAATTCCCCTTGTCTTTATGTTATGTTTAGTCGCCCTAATATAAATATCAAAAAACTGGCGCCGCCAGCATCTTTTGATGCTCTCAAATCTCTCTCCTCTCTTCTCTCTTTCTCTCCTCTATCTTCTCTTCACTTTAGTTCTAGACAAGATGGTATCAGAGCAGGACTATTAGATCTGAAAGAAAAGATCAAGCAACCCTTTTTTGTCTTCTCCCTTTGCTAGACCTAGATCCAAATTCATTGAAGATCCATATCCAAATTCAGATCAGATTGAAGTACTCTCTCTCCCTTTCTCTTTTTCCTTATTTTTTCTGGTCGTGTGCTAGAACAGAACCTGTAATATGTTCAATCTGTCAATGTGAGGTGAGCAGTCTCTCTTCTTTCCTTTTTTTGTGGGATCGGCTAATCCCTGTAACAAACTATAGGTCGGTGATGACCTTTATATGCTGCGACAAACAGCCTTCTTGTGAAGTGTGTAGGTTA